TCCGTTAATCAGGATTGCTGCGCCAAATTTCAATGGCTCAAATGCGATTGCGATCTATTCAGGTTAGCAGATATGCCACAAGGCGTCAATCTCCCCGCTCCGTCAGCTCGTTGGCAGGATCTATGTACGGCTCTCCGTCTCTTGCCATGAGGTTGCCCGGCTTCAGCGGCCTCCGGATCCGATATCCAAGTCTTAAGGTTGTTCTGCAACAGGCTTCGCTGACGAACGGCTGCCCATCCAGTCATCTGAGTATTCCGTCCACATCACATACAGTTGACGGCCGCCATTGGCATGATCCTCAAATGGTACATCAGAATTGCGGTAAACGCCCAAAGTGGTTCAACCTCGAAGCGATATGCGTTAGGTTTCGGGTCTGTCCTGCACAGGTATTCTGCCGTCCATCCGGACGCAACTTAATGATGCTGCTTCGGATGGCAGCCCGAACAGCCCGCATCCCGGAAAAGTTCCTTGCCCTCTGCCACCAGCGGGTCGGAAGGAAGCGGAGCGGCCGACGCTGATGCTGCAGCCATGCGTTCGAACTCAGGGCGCGGCACCGCGACAACTTGAACCGCATATTCGCATGAGAACACCGCAGAACTCAGCGCACTGGCCGAAAACTCGCCCGGCGCATACGCCTGGAACCACATCTTGTTGTCGTTATTCGGAATCATGTCTACCTTGCCCGCGAGCTTGGGCACCCAGAAGCTATGAATGACATCTACCGAGTCCAGAAGGAACACGACCGGCTCGCCGACGGCACATAGAGCTCGTTAGCGACGGCAATCTGCTCGCCCGGGTTGTTGGGATTAGGATAGCGGAACTCGAACCACCACTGGTGGCCGATCACATCTACGAGCAGTTCATTGACTGTCCGTTGTTGTCCACGTATCTGCCCGCATCGGCGTAGAAGATGCCCTGTATCGTCGGAACCGCCGCCACGATGAGCACGATAACGGGTGCAATCGTCCAGGCAATCTCAACGCGCGTATTGCCGTGCGTCTGCTTTGGATCGAGGTCATCCCTGCGCTTGAACTTGAAAACCATGTATAGCAGCGCGCCTTCGACCGCGATGAATACCACCAACCCAGCCCAGAAAATAACCCAGAATATAAACAACTGGTTCTCAGCGACCGGGCCCAACGTGTCGAAAGTGGATTGAGAATGATCAGGCGTAACTACATTACAGCCCGTAAGCAGAGCGGCCAGCGCACCCAGCAGCGCCGCGCTCAGTAATCTTTTCAAGCTCACTGCGCTTTTCAGCATATCGTAACTTGTGCCCTCTCGTTAGTTGCCTGATTCAACTCGTTTCGACTTACCGTTCATCGTCTGATCTGTGCCAATACCGCACGCCCTCAATGCTCTTAGCTTTCATCAGGCGCACCGAGTAGAAATCTATCAGAGCAGTTAAACTCAGTCAAGATTATACACGCTCAATCTGTCATTCCGGCTATATCCAGGAGTACCACCCACCACCTTGAAAAAGCTGTCCCGCGATTATCGCCAAAAGAGCAGAGCCAGATATAAGAGTGAATACAGGTATAGTGGCTTAGCACCTTCAATATCGGGACGCCGCATCAGCCGCCACGCATAATAGATGAACAGCACGCCAAGCACGACGGAACTCACCAGATACACCGATCCAACAGCGCCCGTCAGAGCAAACATGGTCGTCAGCGCCAGCATCAGAAGCGTGTACAACAGTATGGACTTCTTCGTCACATCCACGCCCGCGACAACCGGCAGCATCGGCACTTTCGCGCTTGCGTAGTCATCTTTCAACAGCAGCGAAAGCGCCCAGAAGTGCGGCGGCGTCCAGAAGAAGACGATAGCAAACAGGTATATTGCCGGCAGGTCGAGCGAGCCTGTAACGGCGACCCATCCCACGGCAGGCGGGATCGCCCCCGCCGCTCCGCCTATCACGATGTTCTGCGTCGAGGTGCGCTTCAAAGCCATCGTGTACACGAGCACATAGAACAGCGTGGCGCACAGCGTCAACACCGCGCTCAAAAGGTTAACCATTGAAGTCAGCATTACGAAGGCGACAATGTTGGTACAGATGCCGAAAGCAATGGCGTGACTGTTCGGAATCGTACCCACGACCACAGGACGCATGCGAGTGCGGCTCATCGCTTCGTCAATGTCGCGGTCGAACCACTGGTTCAGCGCATTGCCCCCGCCGAAGCCAGAGTGCCAGCCACCAGCACCACGACCATTACCAATACATCAGGAGTTCCCTGAGCGGCGAGGAACATGCCCCCTAGCGCCGTGAACAGCAGCAGCATTATGATGCGCGGCTTCGTCAGCGCCACATAAGCTCTGATGATGCTTTGGGACGGGGCAGCGATCTGTTGAGTCGTCTGGGTAGTCAAGACCTCAAGCCCTTCCCTTCAAGCCGCCTGCATTCATGCCGTCCACCGCCGCGGATTCTCTATGCCCCAATACAGCGTCCGCGTCCGCAAATCTCTGCGGCACATAAGATAACGCAGCCACGAACACAAGCGCAATCCACACCAATGTCGCCATGCTAAGGTGAATAGCCTTAATCTCCGCAGTGAAGCCCAGCCACACCGTCAACGCGCCGACTAAAATCTGCGCTGCAAACACCACAAGAAGCAGAAATCCGGTTCTGCCAACGCTGGGAAGCTTGGGGCTTTTCCATGCCGAATATGCAACCGCAATCACCAGAACTCCCACAATAGCAGCGAAATATCTATGCGCCATATGTTCAATATACGGCCTGCCCTCAGGAAACAGGCTGCCCCGGCACAACGGCCAGGTGCCGCACGACGACCCGTACCCCGCACCCACAATGTACGAGCCTGACAGGATCAGTAGGAAGACCCCAACCAGCGCCGCAATAGTCCACTTGCTCAAGCCATTGCTTTCGGTCACCGCAACATTGGCGGTCGCATTTCCGCTCACCCGCCAGCTTACCACCACAGCGATAATCAGGGCAGCGACTACGCCTTCCGCTATTCCCAGATGGAGCAGCCGTAGCCACCATGCGAGTTCTGTCAGAACTGTCGCGCCTCCCAGAATGGCCGCGACAATTACGAGAGCCAGAGCCGTCAAGACTGAATTCTTACCCCATCTGTTGGGTCGATAGCGCATCATAACCACGATGGTAGTGCCAAGTACCAGGACACCAAGCACAGATGCCGAAAGCCTGTGGCTGTACTCAATTAGTGTCGCGAATTCAAATGGCGGAATGAGCTGTCCATGGCACAGAGGCCAGTCCGGGCAGCCGAGCCCAGACCCTGTCACGCGCACAATGCCGCCAAGTGTCACTTGAGCAAATGCCGCCACTAAGGAGGCAACTGCCAGCACACGAAAGATAAGGCCGGTCCTGTCAACAGATTTTCGAGTCTGGACCATTGACGCCAATTCGCCTTACCTGACCGCCCTTCCATTGCACAATCCCGAAGGGGTTTCGCCGCCTACGCCAATCAACGCACGAGAATGTGCATCTTTTCACGAACGCCATTCAGGAAAGAATATAGCATACGCCCTGTTCATCGTCAATTAACCTTGACGCAGTTCGCACCGCAGGGCTAGAATAATCTAGCGTCGCGCGTATTCAAGGCACTCACAGCGCCGACCACCTGTACTGGTACGGCTCGCTAGCTCAATTTGGCAGAGCAACTGACTCTTAATCAGTAGGTTCTCGGTTCAAGTCCGAGGCGAGTCACTTCCCCTCCACATAATTCCCTTACCTCTCACTGACGCCTATTCCCACTCCCTATTGCGATAGCTGCGGCTACTTGGTAATAATTGCGGCTACCCCCTTGTCAGATTGACTCATTGCGCCTAATCTTACGGGGCATATTTGCAACTGCTTCATTCGACGCCGCACTGAGGAGGGCTGACGATGTTCCTAATGCGATTCACCGAGCGCGCCTATTACCACTACACAGAAGAGGACGTGCGCAACAGCTACCGCAGCGCCGTCAGGCTCACCTTCCCCAATTCGCACTTTGACACCGCCAAAGCATCCCACATGTACAACTACTACCTCGACGAGTACGAGTACAGCGAAGAAGTCGGTTTCGACGGCTTGATGCTCAACGAGCACCACAACACGCCCACTTGCATGGGCGCTGCGATGAACCTTGAAGCCGCAATCCTCGCGCGCACGACAAAGAAGCCGAAAATTGTGCTGCTCGGCAACCCCTTGCCCATACAGGAAAACCCCTATCCGCATGGCAGAGGAGCTCGCGGAAATTGACCTTATCTCTCGCGGCAGGCTCGTGTCAGGCTTCGTTCGCGGCACAGGCGTCGAATCTTGGGCGACGAACACCAATCCTGTCTATAACCGTGACCGCTTTCAGGAAGCCCACGACCTCATCATCAAGACATGGACTACGCCCGGCCCCTTCCGCTGGGAAGGCAAGCACTATGAGTTCCGCGTGGTCAATCCCTTTCGTGCGCCCACTGCAAGAGCCGCACCCGCCCGTATGGGTGCCCGGCAGCGCAAGCCCGGAGACGATGATATGGGCGGCGCAGCGCCACTACCCGTATGTGTTCCTCGAGGCCGACCCCGATGTTGTGGGAGACGCCAAGCGCATCTACGCCGATGCGGCGAACGAAGTCGGCTACGAGCCGGGCCCGCAGAACTTCGGCTATCTATTCCGAGTGCATGTGCAGGACACCGACGAGAAGGCTTACGAAGTCGGCAAGGGCTTCCTGTCGGGCAACGCAGGCGTCGGGCGTGTGCCCATGCCGATGGACTACATGAATCCACCGGGATACAGTTCCATCGAGGGACGCAGAAGGCTTGCAAATATCAACCTGCGCCCCGATAGGCTCGTGGGCGGCGTGGACTCTGCGGGTTATGATCGCGTGTGTGCAGCTCAACCGCATCGTAGTCGGCAGCCCGGACACCGTAATCAAGAAACTCCGCGAAGTGCTATCCGTCGTGCGCCCAGGCATACTCGCCGTATGGACGAACGACGGCAGTATCAGCCACGAAGACACAATGCGCTGCCTGCGCCTGATGAAAGATGAGGTGCTGCCTGCACTCCGCGAACTGGGCAAGGAACTCGAACTTCCCGGCCCCTTCGACGTCGCTCCCATAAACAGTAATGACAGAGACTTCCAAGAAAATAGCACGATACCTGATGAGGACAATATGCCAGCCGATAGCAACTCGCAAGAACAACAAATAGAAGTCGCGGGCGCGAAGATTCACATTCACAAGCGAGGGGAAGGCGCCGCCGTATTCTCACTGCACAGCATCGAAGGCAATCTCGGAATGCTGCCGTACCTAGATGCCCTATCTCAATCCGCCTCTGTGTACGCCCCAACGCATCCCGGCTTCGGAGCCTCAGACCGCCCCGACTGGCTTGAAAGCATATCCGACCTCGCGCGCTTCTACCTGTGGATGCTCCAGGACCTTGGGCTTGATGAAGTGCATCTGATAGGCGGCTTCATGGGCGGCTGGATTGCCGCTGAAATGGCGGTGATGTGCCCACAGGTGCTGGGCAGCCTTACGCTCATCGACACAGCGGGCGTGCGTCCAAGCGAGGGCGAGATTGCTGACATCTTCCTGCTCGGCGACGAGCAGACAGCAAGCATCGCAATCGGCGACCCAGATCTGCTCGCCACCGCGTCAGAGCCTGAAGACCCCTTCGTCCGACTTCGCGGGCGTGAGATGACAACTCGCCTCTGCTGGAAGCCGTACATGCACGACCCGAGCCTCATACACTTGCTGCCACGCGTTAAAGTTCCCACCCTCGTCATCTGGGGCGAAAACGACCGAATCATCCCCCCCAGCGCGGGCGAGCGCATCGCAGAAACAATGCCCAACACGCGGCTCGAAGTCATTGCGGGCGCTGGTCACCTGCCTCACATCGAGAAGCCGGACGAGGTTATTCCCTTGCTTCAACAGCACTTGGGACTAGCAGAATAGACACTACTCAAAGAGTTTAAGGAGAACACTAATGGCAATCAATACCGCAAAGCAACGCATGCTCGAAGGCAAGCCGGCATTCGGCGCGGAAGTCAATCTTGGCTCGTCACTTTCCGCTGAACTGCTGTCCCCGCTAGGTTTCGACTTCATTCTCGTCGATAACCAGCACGGCGCATGGGACGACAACTCTTCTATGTCCGCCTTCCGAAGCATCGCGCTAGGCGTGGCAATGCCGATGGCGCGCGTCCGTCGTAACGAGTTTGGCGCAATCGGCAGGCTGCTCGACCGTGGCGCTATGGGCATCGTGGTGCCGATGGTCAACTCTGTCGAGGAGGCGGAAGCAGCAGCGGAAGCAGTGCGCTATCTGCCGATTGGCGGGCGTTCAGCTGGAGCGTTCGGCACCGGCTTCCTCGGCGGCGATTATATGCAATGGGCAAATGACGAGATATTCCTCGCGGTGCAGATTGAAACGGTCGAAGCCGCCGCAGTCGCAGAGGGAATCCTCTCAGTCGAGGGCATAGACGGTTGCTGGGTTGGCCCCGGCGACCTCAGTTACTCCATGGGGGTGGACCTGTCGGACCCGGCGGGCTGGCAGGCGCACGACGACCTAATTGTGCAGATATTCGAGGCAACCAAGCGCGCAGGCAAGATACCCGGCATCTACACGCCCAGCGCATCGGAGGCATTGCGCCGCGCCGAGCAGGGCGGGCTGTTCCTCACGGCAGGCGGCGACGGACCCTGGGTCGTCGAAGGCGCCCTCAGCACATTGAAGGAACTCGGCAGATAGCCGTGCAATTGACAACATCCATTTTCGCTCATATAGTCAGCACCGACCCAATGGTCAACTGAGTTACTGACAAACCCCAAAGAGGTGCAGCATGAAAATCACCGATATCAAAGTCAACCAGCTCCGCAGCTTTATGAGCGAGGGCAACGACGCCTTCGTGGGCGCGGGCGGGCGCCTCATAGTGCGCGTCTATACTGACGAAGGCATTACCGGCATCGCCGAAGGCTCACGTGGACTAGACGTATTTCGGGCATACCTCGACAGCATGATTAAGCCCCTGCTTGTCGGAGAAAACCCCTTGCAGCCCCGCCAGATCTGGGAGAAGCTCTCTCTCGGCACAGGTCAGCAGGCTACTCGCATCCCGCCTCAAATTGCGGGCGCGATCGACATCTGCTGCTGGGACATCATGGGCAAGGCAGCAGGGCTGCCGGTCTATGCCATGCTCGGCGGGGCGCACCGCACCGAGATCCCCCTCTACTGGAGCCGCGGCAACGGCTGGCGCAAGTCTCCCGGCGAAATGCTCGAAGAGGTGCAGGAAGGCTACGAGAAGGGCTTCCGCGCCTTCAAGATTCGAATGGACTGGCGCGACTACCGGCAGGACAGCAACCCTAGAAACGACTTTGAGATATTCAGGGCCGTCCGCGAGTGGCTGCCTGACGATGTGCCGGTCGGCTTCGATGCCAACAACGGCTACTCCGTTCCAACGGCGATTCAACAGGGCAGGAAGTTGGAAGAACTCGGCGTAGCCCACTTCGAGGAGCCGCTGCCCCAGTACGACCTGCGCGGCTTGCGCCAAGTAGTGGAGGCACTAGACTGCGCCATATCGACTGGCGAGCAGGAAACATCCGCTTGGCGTTTCCGCGACCTGATCGACCTGTCCAACCCGGACATCCTTCAGCCTGACATCCTAAACGTCGGCGGCCTATCTGAAATCGTAAGGGTCTATGAGATGGCAGTCTCCGACAACAAGGTCATCATGCCGCACAGCCCCAACGTCGGCGTCAACTCCGTGGCAAGCCTTCACGCGTACAGCACCGTAACTAACGCAGTGCGCCCCCACGAGTTCTCCGAAGAGTTCACGGGCCCCGCCGAGCGCGTAGCCTCGCTGTTCGTTGACCCGATCATCCCGGAGAATGGCGTAATCAAATTGCCAGACCGGCCCGGATTCGGCTTAGAATTCGACGAAGCCGAACTTGAAAGGGCAATAATCGCGTAACTAAACAGAGATGGGCAGGATATTCTTGGTGTAGATATCCTGCCCATTCCTTACACCGATGTCAGCCCCTGTCAGCCCACCAACCTAATACGATGGTTCTCGCTGTCCGCGATATACATCGCGCCCTCACCATCAACCACCACGCCATGAGGTCGCGCAAGCCCTGCTCCAATCGCAGAACCGCCATCCCCGTCCGGCCCCTCGTGTCCTCCCGCAACCGTCGTTATGATGCCGCTCGCAGCATCATACTTGCGTATCGCGTGGTTCTCCGTATCCACGATGAGCACATTTCCGTCCCCATCGCAGCGTATCGCCTTCGGCCCATTGAACTCGCACTCAATCGCGGGCCCGCCGTCACCTGTATAGCCCTGTGCGCCTGTGCCCGCAACAGTCGCGATGATGCCCACAGCATCGATGCGCCGAAGGGTGTTGCCCTCTCGCTCGCACATATAGGTATTGCCATCGCCGTCCACGCACACCGCCCGCGCCCCGAAGATGCCCGCCTCGCTCGCCTTCCCACCGTCTCCGGTATGCTCCTTCTCGCCCGTCCCAGCATATGTGCTCATCATGCCGCTTGCAATGTCCAGCCGCCGGATGCGCTGGTCTTGTATGTCCGCAATCAGCAGGCCGCCCTTGCCATCCAGGATGCAGTCGTTCGGCTCCCTCATCTGCGCCTGGTTCGCAGGCCCACCGTCGCCACCGTATCCGACCGTAGTGTCGCCCGCCACCGTGCTGATGATGCCGGTTGCGATGTCTATCTTGCGAATAGCGGGATTGAATCGCTGCAAGATGTACACATCCCCGTTGTCGTCCACCTGTATAGCGTAAATCTCGTCAATCTTCGCTTCGACCGCGGCCCCGCCATCGCCAGTATGCCCCTGATTCACCAGTGCCTGCGAATGTCGACAGCTCTCCCGAGTGCATATCCAGCCTGCGAATCGCATAGTTGAAGCAGTCCGCGATATACAGCCATCGGCACGACGGATCGAACTCCACATGGAACGGATTGTCCATTGTCGCAAGAGTTGCGGGACCGCCGTCACCTGTGTATCCTTGCGCTCCGCTGCCAACAATACTCGATATGGTTGTCGTCATGATGATTGAATCTCCTAGTCGAATTTCGATTCTAGAGTTGATGTGCCCACCACGGCTTTCTCCGCGTTCTGAACATCGCGTCGGCGAGTTGCACCGCTTCAGGGGAAGCCACCTCAGCTCGCGAGGCATGTTCCAGAGTGCTGAACGATACGCCGTCCAGGTATGCCGCGGCTAAGTCCGCGGCCGAAAGCGTGATATCGGGTTCGGCAGTCGATGGCTTGCATTGGGCGCCCACTGCTCCGCCCTCCAGCTCATACCGTCCTTCGTTCCAGGGACAGAACTCGTCCCGCACCTCAAGCACGATTCGCCCTTCCCGCGCGTAAGTCCGTGCCTCCAACGCTCGCTGCACGTCCAGGAGCCGCAGCCACATGCCGTCTCTCAGGGTGCGCTGCAGCCGGCGGGGGTCTGCCAGCATCCAGGGCAGCGGGTCATCCACAGGACGGTCATCACACTCTATGGTCGTTCTGAGGTCAATGCCAAAGCAGAATCGCCACAGCGCAGCGTGAGCCCCGTCGCTCCCTGCCATAAGATCGACTACGCTCACCGTATCGCCACGCAGACGATAAATCACATAGCCATCTATCTGACCGTCCTCTTCATACACAACGAATTGGAAGGGGCCGGCCCCTTCCCTTTCGTGCTCGAAATCTGCCAGGAATTCAGACCAGTGGTCCGAATGTAATGGAACAAAGGCAGGTCTGTCGGTGCACACGCGAACGGCTACCGAAGGCAGCAGCTCCATGGCATCGTCCTTGTCGATGAAGCGAAGACGTCCCGGCGACTCAGGCGCGTAGGCAAGCTCCGTGTGCCGCCTGTCGATACTCCACCTCTCGATTATCGACGCAATGCCATACCCGTAGCGTCCGTATATGATGCTTTCGGACGCTCCCAGCATCGCGAAAGTCTCGTCATTGTCGTGCGCTTCACGCAGATGAGTATCCATCATCCGCGTCAGGATTCGTCGCCTTCGATGCGTCGGAAGAACCGTGACACCGGAGACTACGGCGGTGGCCGCGCTCCTGCCCTCTGGTATGTTCATCTGCATCGGGTACACGACAGCAGTGCCGACTATCTCATCGCCGTCGAGGGCCGCGAGCGACCGCGCAATCCGCAGGGGGCGCGTGCTGACCTTCATGTCATCATCGGTCATCGTGGAGCCGAAGCCGAGCGCCATCGTCCTGAGGAAAGCGGGTCGCTCAATCTCTCCGATAAAACGCAACTCTATGTCAGCCATAATTCAACTCCACATGGCCCTGCGTGCCAATTTCGCTAAGCTCAACTAATCGACGGTCGCATCCTATTGGTCAACTACCGACCCATCTCGATGCAGCCGCACATTTATCTGCCCGTAGGTCCTCGGCGGCGCCTTCTCCTGCGCATCTTCCGCAATCTCGATTCCGATGCCCGGCGCGTCCGGGATGATCAGGAATCCGTCCTCAACCGCAATCGGCTCTTTGACCATCACATTCTTCGGGAAATTCGTGCTCACCTGTCGGGTATTCCTGTATGGCGAAGTTCGGCGCACACGCCGCAATCTGCAGGCATGCAGCCGTGCTGATTGGCCCCAACGGGTTATGTGGCACGACGCCCACATAGCTCGCCTCAGCCAGCGCCGCAATCTTCTTCGTGTGCGTGATGCCGCCTGCCAGACACACATCCGGGCGGATGTACTGCACAGCCCCGCGCTTTAGCAGCATGTCGAACTCATGGATCGTTTGGAATCGCTCTCCCGTAGCGATTGGCACGGTAATCTGGTTCGCCACCAGTCCCATTGCGTCATAATGCTCCGGCAGGATGGGGTCTTCGTAGAACATAGGATGGAATTCCGCGATGCCCTGCGCCAGCACAACTGCTTCTGCCGGCGTCAGTCTGCGGTGAATCTCGATGCACAGGTCAACCTCGTTACCCGCCGCCTCGCGGTACATACGCACGGCGTCTATGGCGTCCGCCATCTTTTCTGAGTGCGACTTGTAGTACGGCACCGAGCGGTCCTCGTCGAGGAACGGCGTCAGGTGCCCGACTGCAGTGAATCCAGCTTCCTTAGCGGCTTTCACGCCCGATACAAGCTCTTCGCGAGTTGAGCCGAACACATGGTAATAGACGCGTGCCTTGTCCCGCACCTTGCCTCCGAGCAGCTGGTACACCGGCACTCCAAAGTGCTTGCCCGCGATGTCCCAGAGCGCGATGTCGATTGCGCTGATACCCGCCATTATCGCTGCGCCTCGGAAATGCCCGGTACGGTACATCGTCTGCCAGTGGTGCTCGATCAGCAGCGGGTTCTTGCCCACCAGATACGGCCCGAACTTCAGGCGGATTGCCGCCTCGGTCGCCTCCAAGTGTCCCCACGCACCTGCTTCGCCGTAGCCCGTAATGCCCTCGTCAGTATGTACCTTCACGAACAGATATCTGTCCACCGGATAAGTCTCAACGGATGTTATCTTCATGATCTCTCCTCACAGAATTGATGGAAGTATGCTACCACACACCTTCCCACTCGATGCCGTCTTATCCCCTGCAATAAATAGCCTGCTAAGTCCAAGCCTGCGCCATCTTCCTAACCTCCGGCAAGAGAACCGCCATGCTGGACATAGCAATGATTCCCAAGACTACGTAACGAAATATCCTCTCATTCATGTGCCTGATCAGCAGCCCACCCAGTCCGAAACCGATGAGACGGACGAGCACGATGGAGATGAGGTCAGTCGATCCGCTGTGTACAGTCCGCGAATGCGTAAAAGGCTAGTCCGACCACTGAGATGACAAGCAGGAAGAACGCCCATCGCCCCCCTCACCGACTGCCGCTGCAGGTTCCTCGCAAGCAGAAGAGGACGATTAACGTCCTCCGACCGCAATGCGGCCAGGTACATCCTACCACAAAGCCCGCGACGATGCCCAGTGCCCTTGCATAGGGTATTTCACCCTGAAACTCCTTAAACGACAAGGCGGCGAGCAGTAGGATGAAGTGGCAATGCCGATGCGAATATGTTGGGGTCCGCAAACTTCATATCGCTACGCCGACCGGAACTCCCAGTCCTCCCGCCGCCGCAATCGGCACTATCTCACGGTACGGGACATCCTTTCTCGCCTGAATCGCTATCAGCACCCCTGCGCTTGCTCCTGCGGAATTCACTACGATTACGGCTGTCTGTGGGTCGGCGATAGCTAGTAGCGCAATAGGCGTGGCTACCATTGCTATGCCGAAGCCAGTCGCGCTGTACACTGTGCAACCTAAAAATAGCGCCAGCGCCGCAATGGCAATTCCCGTCAGTCCCAGCGTCAACTCCATTACAGATACTTACTCACTTCTTTGACCACGACAATGATGCTTGAAACGATGATGATGCCAATGACCAGATTGCCAAAAACCCGTTCATTTATGCGCTTGATGAGCATTGCTCCCAGCAGAAAGCCTATCACCGCTGGAATTGCGACTATGCCTATCAGCGTGAGACGTAGGGGTGTGTACAGCCCATAGAGAGCAAAGAGCACGACCGTAAACGCCATCAGCGATACCAGAAAGAACGCCATAGCCGCCCTGACTGTCTGACGCTCCCAATTCCTCGTCATGAGAACAGCATCACCAGAGAAACCGGCGACACCTGATGTGGGCAGCAGCACGCCCACTATGATCCTGATCCTGCCGCGATTCCCACCTGCTTAGAGTAGGGAATCTCCTTCTCGATCTTACGACGAGCCAATTGCGAAAAGTATGATTAGAACGGCGATTCCGATGCTAAGCACACTCGAATCCGCCGTCTTCAGTATGAAACCGCGATAGGCGCCCCACACAGGGCAGCATGGTTATCGGCAATCTCTCTGAAGGGGACGTCCCGCCAGACTTCGAGATTATCCATACGCCTATCCCCACTCCGTCCGGCCGCCGGCACGACAATGACGGTTTGCGCTCATAGACTAGCAGCATAAGGGCGTGGAGATCATGCCTATCCCGAAGCCCGTCGCGCTGAGACCGTAGAAGCCAATAGCATCGCAAATTGACGACAATTGCTTCACAGCCATCCCAAATCCATCAATGCTTGCCACCTTCTAATCATGTACGAATATCGCTGGACGAGATTATTATCGTCAGGACCGCATACGAAATACGCGCTCGCTCATCAATTTGAGAATCAGAGCGCCAAGCCCCACAGCATATGTATCACCATCAGCACGCAATCAGATTAGCCTCTCGGCAGTGATCAGCTCACGCGACAGCATAGCCTGCCTACGCTGAGACTACGTCCCTAGCACACGCAGGTAAAATGCGCAATGCCGCTCTGACATTCTCTTGTGCCAGTCCGCTGCTCAGGCGATAGAGAGTCAACCCCACAGCCGCCAATCGCCCAAATGCAGGAAGCACAACCCTCCACCGTCAAGTCCAGCCAGTCCTCCGACTACTTCTGAGTACGGGCCTTCTCTCTGGACAGTGAACGTCCGCGTACGCTGCCAACATCAAGACGAGTGACGATATGCGATACACGCATGTGCCGGATCGGGCGAACTTCAAGACGGATACACCGCAAACTGCGCGGCACGCCCAGTCGCACCCGGCGGCACGCTATTGGCAGCACCCCCTCGTAGGGTATGTCTCTTTTCATTCGATGCTTGTACACTACCCAGCGCCTCACGTGCACGTGCGATCGCATTCAGAACGATCCCACGGCGGTCTGCGCGGCGTCCTAGCACGAACAGCAGGCGGGCATCGCCGAAGCCTACCCTATCCCTATCCCGAGCCGTCGCACTGCTCGCCGTACAGCCGAGGAATAGCAGAAGTCAGCTAACATCGCCGACTAGAAGCCTACTCAGTACAAATCTTGCAACTTCCTCCCGCCCCAGTACCTGTCAGGCTCGTAACTACTATCGCCGCTACTGACCCTCTTCGGACAGTACCTCGTGTTATCCGGCGATAGACTTAGCTCTGCCGCCGCACCAAACCCCCGCCCTACTAGCCTCAAAGAAAGCAGCGACCGCCACGCCTATCAGTGAACTCGTTCTGCCGTGAGCATAGCGCTGCCTGTACGGGACGCCGATACCTATGACTACCGCGCCCTCGCGCCGTCCCCTACAAAAAATAAACTACCGCAAGAAAGTACAGCTGACAGCGTAGCCTCTCGCACCGCCGCGACTCTACATCGGCGCGAACAAGCATCTCGCAATGCTGACGCACTACAGTAGCGCGCCAGCCACACACAATGCGTCACGATCATGCTGCTCACAACGAAGCCTGTTCCAATCCACTCGCCGTTGAGTTGTCGTCAGCGTCCAGCGCCTGTTGAAACGGCGGCCAGCAGTGTCAGTGCTGTAGATTATGAGCAGAGCTGATCGCATACTGCGAGAATGGCGGTGCAGCGTCCCGTATCGTATAGTACATCCTCGTACTCTGGCACCGCCCACATCCCGTCGGCGGCTATGGGTCAGCCACCTGACGCACCGGGATGTGCTGCCGCGTCTGCCATATAACAACCTCCAGCGAGAACACATGAACGCGGCAGCGCGTTGATTATGCGCTCGACTGCAGTCTGGCGGGTCCACCACACAACAATCAGTGGTATGGAGGTTTACTCCACATGCCTGAACCCTCGGCGGTGCAGAGACGAGCGCCCGCCGCGATACCATAGCAGGGCGACGACCAGTATGCTCGACCGACAGGTGTCCAGCAGAGCAGCACCTACGGGCTTCCGCGAGCCTACGTCACCGCGCTGCACCTCGCGCATTACACATCCCTGCAACTGCTCGCTGTCTCACGGCAACTCTGCCGTTCACTTTCCCAGCACATAAGGAATACCCTCGGGAACTGGCATGGAGGATCGTCGTAAGTGGCGTTAGCTCGTGATTCGCTCATCATCGACACCACGAGGGTCGAATGCGACGCCTGCTCGACGCGTCGTCTCCCGACCTGTCCAGCGCCGAAACCGGGCCGCGCGCTATTGTCGTCCATAGCGCTGCACTAACATCTCTCGAGCGTGAGCATTCCAAACTGCGTCGCAACGCTGAGCCGTCCAAGAAGCGCGGGAAGCAACCATAAGCCCTTGGTGCGCATGCTGCTGCCATCATGTCATCGAGTCGCTGCCCTACCATATAGTCCGGTTACCTCGAAGCAGTGCAGCAGTCGCGGCTGTACCTGCTGCCAGACCTCCTCACGCTGTCCGGCGGAGCGCCCCGGGTCGCCGTACTTGTAGCTCCTCATCCCCCAGCATCTCCATCACTCTGCTTTCCCATCCATCGACACCCTCCCGCGCTCGGCAGCGATGTCTCGCAGGCTCATGCCCTCCAGGTGGCTGTTCTGGGCAGATCAGTGACCACTGCGGACGATCGATCGTCTCGAGCGCTCTTGCATATACTCCAGCATTCGCTGCCGCCGCTCTTCCTCTGGTCGCGCATGTCTGCTCCGCTCCATCTAGCGCTTCGTCGCCCCGTGTTCATCGCTCTGCTTGCACGATAGCGTGATCGCAGGTCAGCTGCTACCGGTATGCAGAACGGGTAAAGCCTCAGCGTGCATAGCTCCACTGCCCATCCGCGCTTAGCCTTGTCTAGCAGTCTCCACTCGCTCGGCTGACCTTCCCGGCGCTCTCCTCTCTGGATGCGTGCGGATACGTGCGAAACAGTGAACCTTGCCGCCGAGCCTTCTGCGATTTCCTTCCCAGCGCGTGTCCGGCACATCGCGTCCGCGCCAAAGCCGCGCTCCGTGTTCACATCCACCATCGCGCAAAAAAGAGGTGCGTTACATACACGCTCGCGTACTAGCTACTCCGCGACACTTGCACACTCCACGCGCTCGTCGGTGTCGCTCCAAGCGTTGCGTACGCAGACATAGCGGTGGCACAGCCGACGGCGCGTGCTCTCATACCCTCGCGTATGATCTGTTTCCTCCCTTCTCCAGCGCGTTCCGCCCCCCAGCGGCTTTGTCATAGACAGCCCACCGTTTCCAGTCGGATCACGCGCCCCGTGTCGGGATGCATAGGCGTGTTGATAGCCGTCTTCTTGTGTATAGTGCGTAGCTGAAACGACTGCCCCGAACGCTGCTCATCGGATCTAGATCTTCTGCTTCATGGCGGTCGCCCAGAATGCTGCAAGTACGCGTCGGTTCATCAGCTGCGGCTAGTCTTCTCAGGGACACGCGGCGCGTAAACTGACAGCCGTCATCCTGTCCCAGGATCTCAGGTGTGACTTCATTCCTTGCCGCAACCCGTCAGCATGGTCTGCTGGTCGATTAGCAGTATGCCGTCGGATGATCACGGCTGCGTATCTATGAAGCCTGGCGTAAACACGTCAGTTCCTCGTCGGCATTTCATAGACGCGGTCGGCCGCGCCTGAGCTTGCGACAGTCGCTCCAATCTCGCAATCGTCTCACCTCAATTCGCCAACTAATCGCCGATAGGCCAGGCGTGCCTGCCCGTGCCGGTCACACGCTCCCTGCAAGATTACAACATCCAACATTACGGTAGCC